AACTCCGAGCGTATCGAATGTTGGCATTAAATCGCGATTGAAAGATGTTAGTACTACATTAACAACTTCAAAGGAGCTTCTCAAAATCATTACCCGTTTATGGGGCCAAGAAGATCGTCCTTCAACGAGCATGTCTCTAATCTCAGCCTTACACGCCGAGCTAGAGAGGGCTCGATTGCAGATCAATCAGCTCATCCAAGAGCAAAGGTACGAGCAGAATGACATAAGCTATCTGATGAGGTGGTTTGCTGAAGAGAAGGAAGCTTGGAAGAGTAAGGAGCAAGAAGTTGTGGAGGCTGCTATTGAGTCCGTGGCTGAAGAACTGGAAGTTGAAAGAAAGCTTCGGAGAAGGATGGAGAGCTTGAACAAGAAGCTGGGGAGAGAATTGGGTGAGACGAAATCATCACTTGTGAAAGTTGTGAAAGAATTTGAGAGTGAAAGAAGGGGAAGGGGATCTGCTGAACTCAGTGCTGTGCTTCGTGAGGAACAAACTCATGTACCCAAAAATGGTGGTGTGGATGAACTGAGGAATGAAGTTGAGGCGTTTTTGGGTATCAAAAGGGGTACAGAGGAGGCAGGGGAAGTTGTGGATTTGGGTGAAAGTGATGTTCATTCCTTAGAATTAAATATGGAGAATTACAAAAGTTATGATTGGATCCACTGTTGTAGAAGGCCTTCAATAGATGATGAACTCAAGGCAACAACGAAGTCTAATTCTAAGAAGGGTTCAAGAAAAAGCATATCTGATGGATTGGAATGGGGAAGAAGCTCTGTAATGGAGAAAGTAGGTTGTTCAAAGAACCTTAGAGACCAGATCTTATATGGGTCGAGGCTGGGTTCGCTTAAAGCCACTGCCAGCCCAACTAGGGCGTGGGAACAAGCGCGGCCCTCAAGAGACCTCGCTGATACAGTCGCTGAGAGAGCTTCGTTGGTGCAGGGTAATGGATTGAAGTGTAGAGGGAACGGGAACGGTGTAAGTTCGAGGAAGTACAAGTGAGCCCAGCGACGAAAGCCATTGGATCGGTCGAGCCTGCTAAAATGTTGTAACGGCCCGGTGCTGAAAAGCTCAAAAAGTGCTTTGAATTCTTTTTTTTATTTCTTATTCTTCTTTTTTGGGTCCTTCCGGTTCAAAAGATTCTCAAAAAATATTTACATTCTTGAACTGGGTCGTTACGTGTGATGGGATAGTAAATGGTGATGTCCTACGAGGCTCGTGGCTCCTCAACTAAGAAACGAGTTATCATCACTCTCCAACTACCATATTGGTGAGGTTCTTGGAATGTAGTAACTAACTAAGAAATGTGTTGAGTTATCATCACCACTCTCCAACTACCATATTAGTGAGGTTCTTGGAATGTAGTAACTAACTAAGAATCGTGTTGAGTTATCATCACCACTCTCCAACTACCATATTGGTGAGGTTCTTGGAATGTAGTAAACTATATGTCTCCTCAACTAAGAAACGTGTCTGAGTTCTCAGGTTCGTAGAATGTAGTAACTATATTGGTTCGTGGAGGGTGACCAAGCAAGAAATATAATTCTCAAAACCATAACATTTGGAGTTACTTTGACTTTAGATGTTGACTCTAAGCATTCAAACTATGAAGTTGAATATAATGATTATGAGAATTCTTTATATTATGAGTCTATTCTTAGGTACATAATAAAATTTCATTTACAAAAGTCGTTAAATTGTAACACTTATAAAAATATTAAATACTTTGAATAGTTTTAACAATTAAGACAAGGATGTAAGATAAGGATGAAGACAAAAATAGTGACATCATTATGTATAATTAAAAAAAAATTGAATTTTTAAAACATTTAATTTAAGGAGAATTCTTTCAACTCACTAGAGTTTCTAAGTTTAAATCTTTTTATTATTATTGTTGTTTTCTATATCTAGTTCGTGTATGAAAAGTATTAAATAATGAGTTTGAATGGAGTAAGGTAAATAATAATAAAATGCTATAAAAAGCAAATAACAATTTCATAATAATAAAATGTTTAGACGCATTTAATTTGAACTTAATTGAAACAACGCTAATTTAGGTGGGTATTATTCAAAATACAATTGACTATATTATCACAATAGACATTTAAATTCCAAAATAAAATAAAATAACTAGATTTTCAATCCATGAGCTTAAGAGTCTTAAGCATGGAAGGATTGACAACGCTATAGCCTCCATCGACCACAAGATTAAGCCCACTCACATAGTTTGCTTCGTCACTAGCTAAGTACAGCGCAGCCCTGGCTATGTCATCGGCTTTGAGCACGCAACCCTTGAGATTGGCCCACCCGGTCACCATGTTCTCCAAAGCCTCTGCCTGCTTCGGGTCTGTGGGCCCAGCAATCCCAGTGGCCACGACGAAGGGGGCCACGCAATTGACTCTGATCCCGTGCTGGCCAAGTTCCGCCGCTAGGTTCCTAACCAACCCCAACACAGCGCATTTGGAGGCTGCGTATGGGTGCGTTGAGAGGCCTGCAATGTTGGTGGTTGCACTGGTTGTGAACAAAATGCACCCTTTTTTGTCGGGTATCATCACCCTGGCTGCATGCTTCGCCCCCCAAAATGCCCCCATCACGTTCACCCCCAACACCTTCAATTACCACGAATGAGGCTGTTAATGTGTGGATTATTTTTGGATTAAGGGATAATTAAATACTACCTTGTCCAAGTCAGATTTTGTAACGTCCAATATTCCACTAAACGGACGGTCGATGACGCCGGCGTTGCTGTACATGATGTCCAGCTTGCCGTGCCGGCAGACGGCGGCGTCCACAAGATTGCTGACGTCTTCTTCCTTGGACACGTCGCAATGGATATAGCTTATGTCTTCGCCGAGTTGGTCAGCGATTTTTTGGCCGACTTCATCTTGGATATCGGCGATGATGACTTTGGCTCCATTTTCGTGGAAAATTCGCACTACGCTAGCTCCGATCCCGCTTGCCCCGCCGGTGATAATCGCCACCTTGCCTTCCAGTCTGAAAACCCCGAAATTACACAGGTTAATCAATATATATATATATATAATTAATTAATTAATGAAAATAATGGAAAATTGGTACCTTCTGAGAGTGGTAGCAGAGGCATTAAAGCTCATCTTGTTCAACAAGAAATTCAGAAATTAAGGAAGCGGTTAATGGGAGAGAAAAGGAGAGAGCTTTGGATTTATTCAAAGGTGTGATTTTGTGAGGGTGGCCATTCAGCTATTTATAGGACCTCTCCTATAAATATTAAAAAATCTCATTAATGACGTCACTCCGTTTTGCGTTAAACGTATTAATGAGATAAACAATTGAAATTAATTAATTAATTAATTAAAATACAAGTGACTAAATTGAGATTTTACAGAGTTAGGTAGAAAGTAACAATATAAGTGTGAAGCTAATTGTTAGTCCCTTAAATAATGGGGAAATTGTTTGAAATTTGAACGTCATAATTATATAACTACTTTATTGAGAAATTTTAAAAAATTAAGAATACAACTGAGAGTAATAAAAAGTCAAATCACTTTTTAAAAAGTCAGTTTTCTTGTACGTTTTGAATGGTGCGGAGTCATTGTCTTCGCACTAGTTGACAAACGTTAAAGCTTTGGCACTCCATTGGATTCACGTGACTCCTGTCTTTCTTGCAATGGTAAGGTATTGTCCACTTTGAAACTCTTATGGCTTTCTTTCACTGAATTAATCAACGTGGAACTTACTCCCAATAGTCATCAACACAACCTTTGTCTCTATTTTAGGTCAAGGTCTCTCATATGCAACCGTACACATCTCATCTCATCATCTAGATTTCCAACAACACGGTCCACATATTGTAATATCATCACAAATCCTAGGATGTTCTGGACACTTGCTACTCGCTCAAGCACGCTAATTGAGAGTCGACCCCAAAAGTCTACTATATCACTAGGACATCTTGAACATCCATTTCTTTAGGGTTATATTGAGGTATGAACATGCTTGTATCTTTATCAGGTAATTTACGAATATCGTATTAGATAGCCAGCGCATATATCAACCTCCGACACATGAGCTGGGGAGCAATGTTGGTACACTCGTATTGTCTGACACTATCCTAAAAAAAAACCTATTTTCAAAGAAAGACACTAGTCTTGTAACTTTTGACCGCGCTATGACACAAAGTCAATGAGTGATGGAGAGTTGACATCATGCCTTCTCCAATAACACATTTGGAGGTATGTTTAATTTGGTTGAATTTGGTTGGAATAGAGATGAACGGTCATAAATTAAGTACTTTGAATAGCTTAGTAATTAAGATAAGGATCAAAGGAAGAAAAATTAGTCCACTCATGAAGTGACACGTGCAATTTCAGATTAGTCTCCTCTAGAAACCTTTAATCGTATCTTTGGTGGCTTTATTTCAATTCAAAACGGAGAAAATAATAAGACTTCTGATGTAGACTTTTTAATTTAAATAGAGTGTATTAAATAGATTATTATGTCTAATAAATATTATTATATTTGTGTCTAATAAATATATGTCTAATAAGTAAGTCATAGTCCCGGTCGAAGCAGGTCAAGTATACCAATAGTGAGCTTGGGGTCACATAGCGGTGCCACTTCTTATCACAACCATATTGTGAATTGAGTAGGTTGTGAATTTCAAATATTATGAGGTAGTGATACGAAAGTGACCTCAGACTGACCACACGCAAGCCTAAATAATACAAATATCATGATCTAACTTAGTAAAACGGTACATCCTCCACGTACTACGATACAAATTATTAATTTAAAATATTGTGGATTGGACATCGTAAACGGCTGATGTTAAGATAAGATTCTCCGAATACCCAATGATATTCGTGTTTTGTCTGTATCAAAAACTCAAATGTTTAAACCAACTTTGTTTTGTTTAATCTTCAAACCTTTTTCCATTATAAATTTGCCCTCTCCCTCTAACCCCATCCATATTCTCTCTCTCTCTCTCTCTCTCTCGTGTTAAGAAGAAGAAGAAGAAGAAGAAGAAGAAGAAGAAGAAGACATGGCAAGCCAGCTTATGTCTGCACCAACAGCACCAAGGAGGTAACCCATACGAACATTTGGCTAACTTTTTCTGCTTTTCAACTTCCTTTTTACTCAATATAAGGCTAACCCAGATGATCATAATCTAAGAATCTGATGTAGTTTACCATATGGATATACAAAATTACAGGATCCCTTTTGCTGCTATTTGATATGAACATGTAGATCTAGACTTTATGTGTTTTAATCATCATGTCTCCAACCAATAATTCATCAATACACTAAAAAAACTAATTTTTTTTATTGTTTTAATAATATTTTGAGATCATTTTTAAACAAGAAAGTCAAACAAGTAGAGGCGATGAGCCCTATGACATTTCCGGATTTAATATATGAATATCAACTCTAAAAAGTATTTAATATTGTAATATCAACCCCTCTCAATTACAATATTCCTCTTAGGTTGGAATATAATATTTAAAAAATATATTATAATAATTTGATTACTAAAGATACACATTCTATCTCAATTCTATTTTTCATACTTAACCTAGTACGGCCTAATCCATTAGGCTTGAGGGAAAAGTAGCAATCATAACCGGCGGCGCAAGTGGGATAGGCGAATGCACAGCAAAACTCTTTGTCCACCACGGCGCCAAAGTAGTTATTGCCGATATCCAAGACGACCTCGGCCAAGCACTATGCGCCACCGCACTTGGCGGCCCCATCAACTCCCTCTACGTGCACTGCGACGTCACAGAAGAATCCCAAATCAAAGCTGCCGTTGAAGCCGCCGTCAAAGCATTCGGCAAGCTCGACATCATGATGAACAACGCCGGAATAGCCGACCCGAGCAAGCCGCGAATCATCGACAACCAAAAAGAAGACTTCGAACGAGTCATCAGCGTCAACGTCACGGGCGTGTTCCTTGGCATCAAACACGCAGCGCAGGCCATGATCCCGGTGAAAACCGGGTCGATTATATCGACAGCAAGCTTGGCGTCGTATGTGGGTGGCTCGGCCTCACACGCTTACACTTGCTCGAAGCATGCGGTGGTGGGGCTTACGAAGAACGCAGCGGTGGAGTTGGGGCAGTTTGGGATTAGGGTGAACTGCTTGTCGCCGTTTGCGATGGTGACGCCGTTGGCTACGAGGTTTGTGGGGTTGGAGGGGGAGGAGTTTGAGACGGCTATGAACTCAATGGCGAATTTGAAAGGGGTTACGCTTAGGACTGAGGATGTGGCGAATGCGGCTTTGTTCTTGGCGAGTGATGAGAGTCGGTATGTGAGTGGCCATAATTTGTTGATTGATGGGGGCTTTGGTATAACTAATCCCAACATCAAAATCTTTGAATACCCTGAAAATTAGGGTAAACTGACTATTTTGCCCCTTGGTTCATCTAGAATTTTCTGATTATTCTTCATTTTAATTTCTAAAATATTATAAATAATTTCACTTATAGGTATTATCATCGTATAATTCTCTCTTGCTCTAATTAATAAATGTGAATGGATTTTGAAGTAAGCTAAATAATAATAAAATGAATAAGAATGACAGAAGAGATGAGATAACGCGTTTACTTGAAATTTGACACCCAAATATTTAAACATCCATAGTACAACGACAAAATAAAACACGAAGAAGGTAGGACTTAATTTGAACTTAGTTGGAGCAACCCTCATTTAAGTGGGTATTATTTTAATCATCAACCCAACTTCAAACTTTGAAATTCGAAAATTAAATAAAAGGCATCACGTGCTTATGGTCATAAGCATTGAAGGATTGACAACACTGTAGCCTCCATCGACCACAAGATTGAGTCCACTCACATAGCTGGCCTCGTCACTAGCTAAGTAGAGCGCAGCCGTGGCTATGTCATTGGCTTTGAGGACGCAACCCTTGAGATTGGCCCAGCGGGTGACCATGTTCTCCATCATCTCTGCCTGCATCGGGTCTTTGGGCCCTGCAATCCCAGTGGCCACGGCGAAAGGGGCCACACAGTTGACTCTAATCCCGTGCTGCCCAAGTTCCGCCGCTAGGTTCCTAACCAACCCCAGCACTGCACATTTGGAGGATGCGTATGGGTGCGTTGAGAGGCCTGCAATGTTGGTGGCTACACTGGTTGTGAACAAAATGCAACCTTTTTTCTCGGGTATCATCACCCTGGCTGCATGCTTTGCCCCCCAAAATGCCCCCATCACGTTCACTCCCAATACCTTCCATGTCATTTAATAATACAGTAATTGATCAGCCTCCAATACTCTAAATTACCCATTTACTTAAGAATCCAACTACCTTTTTGTATCCATTTACTTAATCCTACCCTACTTAAAATTTAATATTAATTAATTATAACCATTCTAGTAATTAAAATTTAATACTAATTAATTGTAACCCCTCTAATAGTTAAAATTTAGTACTAATTAATTGTATCCACTCAAGATAACATAGATGAGATTGCCTCGTGTCTACCTCCTTGGGACTCAATCTTCTTATTGTTTACCTCCTTGGGACTCAATCTTCTTACTGTCTACCTCCTTGGGACTCAATCTTCTTACTGTCTACCTCCTTGGGACTCAATCTTCTTACTGATATATTGCCTGGTGTCTAGCTTTGATACCATGTGCAACAGCTCAAGTCCACCACTAGTCAGTAAATATTGTTATTTTTTGGATTTTCCTTTCGAGCTTCCCCTCCAAGTTTTTAAAACGTTTAAGGAGAGTTTTTTATAAGTGTTTTGTTGTCCTTCCAACCGATGTGGGATATTAGATTAATGACATGTAAGTATTATTTATTAGGGTTAAATAGACAAAAATAACTCTGCAAAATTAAAAAACATACCTCACGTCAATTTTTTTTATTTTTTTTAAGGAAATATTACAACTTTGATTTTGGAAATATTTTTATTATTTATATGTCAAATAAATTAATAAACCTTTTTATTTTATTTTGTCCTCCAATTATGTTATTCATGGATTAAGGAATAGTTAAATACTACCTTGTCCAAGTCAAATTTTGTAACGTCCAATATTCCGCTAAACGGACGGTCGATGACGCCGGCGTTGCTGTACATGATATCCAGCTTACCGTGCAGGCAGACAGCAGCGTCCACTAGATTGCTGACGTCTTCTTCCTTGGACACGTCGCAACGGATATAGCTTACGCCTTCGCCGAGTTGGTCAGCAATTTTTTGGCCGACTTCATCTTGGATATCGGCGATGATGACTTTGGCTCCATTTTCATGGAAAATTCGCACTGCGCTAGCTCCGATTCCGCTTGCACCGCCGGTGATGATCGCCACCTTGCCTTCCAGTCTGAAAACCCCAAAATTACACAGGTTAATCAATATATATATATATAATTAACTAATGAAATGAATGGAAAATTGATACCTTCTGAGAGGGGTGGCAGCAGAGGCATTAGAAGTCATGTTATTGAAGAAGAAAGTCAGAAATTAAGGAAGCGGTTGATGGGAGAGCAAAAGAGAGAGGTTTGGATTTATTGAAAGGTGTGATTTTGTGAGGGTGGGCATTCACATATTTATAGGACAGATTTGTGTTATCAAACTAAATTATTTTTCGGTCATTCATTATCATCATTATAATTGCTATTATATTTAGTTGAGGATACAGAAGCGCCTCATATTTGTCTTCAAGCCACTCACCTACTTTTGGTTCATTATTTTATTTTTTGTTCACATGTTTTATTCCCTTTACTTACAATTAACATTCATGAAATTATTAAAAGAAATTGAGTGGAATTGTCAGAAATTTTGACGTCATTGTTACGTTACTACTTTATTTACTTTTATTATATGTCTAGATTTGTAGTTATTTTCTTTATTTGTAATTCAGTTGGTTCATTGGGAGTTTATGAATTCACATAATAGTGGCTTAGTTTTCAATTATTGAACATATCTTGGCATTTATGAACCTATCTCTCAAAAAGTTTTCTTGAAATGGTTGCAAACAAGCAATGCATGTGATTGGTAGTGCTCATACTTCTATTGTAACGTGACGTTATAAATAACTCGAAAGTTGGATTTTGAAGGAAATGAGATTTGCATCCCCCGACGCCTGTCAGCCATGAAATTTCGTGGGAGAGAGGAGGAGAAGCAAACAGAGAGGAAGAGGAAGAAAAAGGATGGAAAAAGACGTTGGAAATCGTTGCGCAGAGGAGAGAGAAGGATTCGTCGAGAAATAGCGTTGAGTCGGGTAAGGAAGAAGGATCCATTAGATCCGAGTTAGACCTGAACCGGATAACCGAGATCCGTTCAGCCTCGGTCTAGCCTGTCACGCAAGTCCAATAGCCCAAACACCTGCAATGGCCCATGCCGGTCTAGCCTGTAAACCCTCGGCCCAAGTTCCCTCAGCCCAAAACCCTTTCGACCCGTTTGGATCTGTTTTTTGTCCCGATTAAGGTAATTGAGATCATTCTAGGGTCGTATTTCACATTTATTAATTTAATATTGAAATACTAACGGAAGGTGACGAACAGTGTGATAGGAAACGAACCCTTGCAACATTTGGAGCAACTATCGAGGAACGGGAGCTTATGTTTAGCTAATTAGGGAGTATTTCGGCCAAGGCCAATCAAGTAAGTGGCCTTAGTATAGGATAGACTAGAAATATTTTGCATTGCAGTTATATTTACAATGTATGATGATGTATGAGTATGATGTTTGAGTTGTAATGCATGATAATGTACTTAATTTATATTTCCATGTATGACGTACATGATATGTTTGATGCACTTAATGGCGTTATGATGAGTATGATGATTGCATGATGTTTATCTTAATATGTTGATGTTTTTCATATTAAGCATGCTATATGATAATAAGTGTCATACCCATCATGTAGATAGATCGACCTAAGACACAACCCTAAGAGCATGAAACGATAATAATATAAATATCCAACGAGCATGTGTTACTTAATCTAACAAAGAGAAGAGACTAGAGGGTTGTGTCAGAAGATAGGTTAAGATGTGAATTAGAGAGACTTCATGCATATTGTATGTACATAAGCATAGGGATACTTTCCCTAGAGATGATGAGTACGGACGCACACCGTATGTCAAGCAGGGTGATCATAGGGAGCATGACACTAGAAGTTTCATTGACCTCTAGACGTCGTTGCAGAATAGCTTGACCAAAGAGGGTCTAAAGGGTGTGCAAGCCGTCTTGGGATCCACATTCGTACGTCTGGGTCGTGTGTAGAGAAGTACTACACATCTATAGTAGTCAGAGATTGGAGGCCACTCCAAGATGAAATAGAGATAGGTTTCAAGAGCATGTTGCATTTAGCATGGTCCCTATAGTGGGATCACTTACTGAGTATTGTTCAAAACACTCTGGCCGTGTGCCAAATCATTTTTTTTCAGGTAAAAGTAAGGCGTCCATGTACGGATGACGGTGGAATCGCGAGTAGAGACTGTGACACGTGCATACAATATGCCTATTTAAATTCTCAGTCTTAGGTTAGAATAGACTGTTTCGCATTTCATCATTTTAAATATTTTATTTTGTATTTATTTTTATTTTTTTAATTCCAGTATTATGTTTGAAACAAGTAAGACGGTCAGTATTTTCTAGAAGATGAAATTGTTTTAAGCGTTTTCGAAATTTATGTTATAAATGATTTTCATTTTAAGAGTTATATTTCTGGATTAAGAGATGAACGTGAGACGTTAACAGTGACTCTCACTACTTAAGTCTCTTCTATGTTAAAACAACATTTTTAAGTCGATAATTAAAAAAAAAAAAAAAAGGCAAATGGGGGTACCGATACTTCTAATCTGTTCAAAAACAACATTTTTAAGTCAATAATTTAAAAAGGTAAGTTGCGTCTTCTAGAAGTATTTGAAAACTTCTTTTCAATAAAATTATTCTTTAATATTTTAAACAAATTAATTTTATTTATTTATGAATAAATATGTTTTAGTAATAATTTAGACTTAGTTTCAATTTATTTTCATATACTTTACTCAGATATCACTATCACTAGTTGGTTATCTTTTCAGCACGTAATCATTTTCGGTTAAAATAAATGAAAGGTGTGAATATATATCACAGTGTTACCAACTTTATTGTGCTTAATGTCAAAATAATTTAATTAGACTTGTGTTAATAGCTTTCTGTGTTGACTTTGTCTTATTGTATTTATTTATTTATTTATTTGAAAAAAGGGGTTTATTTGATTAAACAATAAAATCTCTGACGTTTCATAAATACTTGATTTTGGTCCTAAATTAATAAAATCATTACATCTTACATGGAAGTTGGTGAAGCATTTTAATTAAAAAAATAATGATTATAAAATGATAGTAATAATATAATTTTAAAATAAACTTTTTTTTTTTCCCCTCCCTGCCGGCCGCCTGTCACCTCCTCCCCTCTCTTTCATATTTTTCTATTCCTCTTCCTTGCAGGCCCATAAAATAACCCAAAACGTAGGCCCAAAAACAGGCCCATTAATATAAAGCCCAATCTCATAATCCCCAAAACATAGGCCCATTAACTTAGACAGGCTGTCGTCGTTTAATGCTCAGATTAATTATTGATTATATTTGTATTAACCATTCATGTAAAAAAAACCAGACACGTGGGTTATGGTGGACACGTGCGAGGCTCACTTTCGCTCAACCCAGCCCAATGCGACGCCATTCGCAGCTTCAACTCGAAGAAATCCAACTCCGATTAAACTGAGATGCGCTGTTCGATGAGTGGGTTTCTTTTAATTTCTAACTCTCCTATGTTTCTTCCAGATTTTTCTTCTAATTACATTCATTCTTTTGCGGGATTGATGTTTTCAGCTGTTCTCAGTGGTTCACTATAGTGGATGGTAATTTCGGGGGCCGATTTCTGCTTGATTTCTTGGGTTTTCTGTCGATTAAAAGGTGAGGAAATTTTGGGAACAGGGTACAAATTGTTGAATATTTTTCGTGTCTTTGTTTTCGTTGTGTTGAATTGTAGCTCTCGGGGGAAATGGAATTTCTTTGAATGCTAGGGTAAGCGCTTGAAATTATTTAGATAACCGGCGGAGTTTCCCTCTGGAGCTTTCAATTTTTGCGTATCTGTTCAATTTACGTCTCGATTGCTTAATTTGATGAAGAACATTGCGGAAGTTATTTCGTGTTCTTTCTTGTAGATCCATTAGGAATCAAATTCTGCTTGATTATGTTCTCTCTTGTTTCTTGTTATAATTTTGGAGTTATATTGATGCGTAGCCATGTATATGCAGCTATTGGGAAGAACGGGTAATTTACTACTTTTTGGAAACCACAAAGCTTGGTTGTAATAATGTCAAGACCTTGGGTTCTTGTCTGTCTGCTGTTACTCATCGTGTTCTCCTCACAATTTGAGTGGAGGCAACAGTATGAGAACGAGCTTGAAGCAGGCCCAAACGCCTCACAGACAGAACCCCATATGTCTGAAAGAGAGGAAGCTGTAAAAGAAAAGGTGAAATTCCAGTTTTCTATCTCCTTTTCCCTTCAAGTTTGGCAAACTACTTGAATGTTTCAGGTGTTTCAATTTCTTTCAATGCTTTAAATAATTAGATTTTCAATTGTTGTTACTGTTGCTATTATATAGGAACCATATATGCATTGGGTTTTTATAAACTCCCCACTCCTACACTCCTACTCTTGAAGATGAGATCCCATATTGGTTAGAGAGGGGAACGAAGCATTTTTTATAATAAGGGTATGGAAACCTCTGGAAAGGAAAGTTCAAAGAGAACAATATATACTAGCGGTGGACTTGGGCTGTTAGATGTATTTTGTTCATGTCGGCATGTGAACATTTTGGTGTTTTGGCTTAGAATTCAGTCCAGAAGGGAGTGTTCCCTGTCTCTCGAAGTGCTGTGTTCCTCGTGTGTGATTTTGCTGTCTTGAGATATTGTGAAGGTGACTGATAGGTAAAATTGGATAGTCACCTTCACCGCTAGTAGATATTGTATAGTATGGTGGATGGCAAGATTTGCTAAAATGATTGTTTTCGACCATAAGGAAAGGTAGAGAGTTTTCAAGCATAATACCCTTTTATTAGTTTTGTTGCTCTTGAAAGCTTTTAGAGAAACCCTGAATCTTCTTCAGAATGCGATCTTTGTGGAATCCTACCAAAAGTGTTGAAGCTATGATTTGAAGACTTAAATTAGAAAATACAGGAATTTTCCCATTGTTTTCTCCTATAACACTGTTATGAGTAAGCACAGTACTATCTAAAATAGAAAAAGAGGTTAACTAATGCAAGATCCTACATTAGTTGGGGGTGGGGAACGAAACATTCCTTATAAGGGTGTGAAAACCTCTCCCTAGTAAACGCGTTCTAAAATCGTGAGAGTAACGGTAATACGTAACGAGCCAAAACAGACAATATGTACTAGCGGTGGACTTGGGCTGTTACATTCCGGCTTGTGTTGGGCCCAGCCAACTTTACTGCGTTTTCTTGTCTTGTTTCTTCATTTTATTTGGTCTTGTTGGTTTGTAATATGATCTGTAAATATAATACTAAAAGTTCTTTCAATGCTACTGTAGATTATCCTTTCCCAGGAGAAAAACATCCGGAGATTGAATGAGGTGGTGCAGAGTCTTAGAAGAGAGTTGGTCGAGTGCAGGGGTGAAGAACACGAGGCAGTGAATAGCACGGTGAGGCCTATGACTGAGCTTCTAACAGTGTTCAACCAGCACCCGATATTAGATGATTAGGTCCCATGCCACTGACCACCACCCGTTCTTGTTATTACACTTTGATAGGACTCTTAACTGTAGATGTAGAACAATGTGTCCTTCTTCAACTCTATCCATCACTCATAATTATATATATCAAATCTACGCCCTATGACTAATTAAGCTTAGTTGATTGTCATTTACTCTTATTTGAAAATAATAAAAGTATAAAATTGTTGTACAACAAACTGCTATTTATGTATATATTTGTTCTGTCTGCTCTCTGTACCCAAATTTTATGGCTGGTCTATAGGTATGCTACTAACTAAATGCACTTTACTTCCATTCAATGGGGATTGGTTTCAACATTCAAATTCCAAGTTTTACGGTTGAGGGGCTTTGAATTTTATTTTTTTTATTTTATTTTATGCAACTCGACATATTTAGCTGATTTTTTGGGTGTTTGTAGTAAGCATGTTAGTGAAGGACAAACCATAACATCTCAAGCTCACTGCGAGTAGATATTGTCATTTCTCAGACTTCTCCATAAGCTGGAGAGAGTTTTCCACACCTCTTGTTGTAAGAAATGTTTCGTTCTCATCTCTAATTGACGCGGGATCTCATACAAACATACTGAAATGACTCGTATTTAAAAAAAAATTTAGAAATAATGTGAGTGAAGATAAATAAACACATGGATAACATGGTCTTGTCATAGAGGATACATGGAAATGTTGAGACCGCAGCGGCCAAATTAGGTAAACAATTCGATGTTAGGTGGTCATTTTTAAAACGCCTCAAAAAGAAAAAAAAACAATGATAAAAGATAAAAGTAGATACGTCTTTAATAATATTTAGGGTTTTAGAGCCAAAAAAACAAAAAGAAAACATAGCGGCATAGGAAGTGAATAGGAGAGGTAGGAGTTGACATTATTGATTTCATGAGAGCATTGGTAACGACCTATCATGAGAGCATTGGGCTCACATTTAGTGAATATATTCATTTCATGCACTAATTGGATGTGCATTATAATTAATATTGTGATTTCTTATTTAATTTTAGGGGTAGCGATAATAGATAATAGAGAAACACCCATATTTATTATTCTACACTCCCAACTTAATTCCCCCTAATATTAACAATATGGGTCTAATTTTATGCAAATTTCCTTTTAATCCTTTCCCTAAATTGAACCAATTCAATTTATGGGTTAAAGTCAAATAAATATTATTGTATGAACACCAAACAAGCTTTGTATTTCAATATTATTTTCTCCATTCTCACTTCATAACTTATGTTTTCATTTTATATATATTTGTGATTAAATTACTCTTATTGTTTCCCTTCAAATAGTTTATGATGCGAATTAAAGAATATGGTGTTGAAAAAGTTGACTTCAAGATAGCATAAGACAGAGGAAATTAATTATCATTATTGAGAGATCCAGAAAATGAGGGTCAACTTTTGTATAGAGAGGATTATTAAAATAGGATTCTAAGAGATATATACCTCTATTTGTGTGACACCCTTTAACCTCCTTAACAAATATATACCTCTGTTTGTCTCGTTTCATTTCTTTAGCTTTAGTTCGACGAATTCGGTCCATTAACCTAATTGAGTTGACATCTTGCTCGAATGAAGATTACTAGCAATAGAGTGAATCTGTGTATTTCTTTTATTGAATGGATCCTAATTTTATTGAATAAAAATAGCTTCGAATTATTATTAAATATAATCTTAAACAAAATTAAAATTAAAAAATTGCATTTTATTTATTATTAGTATTATTTCAAATTTGGAGGCCGTATTTAATAATTTTTTTTGGCATGTGCAATTAACTCAACGGATCCTCACATTAAAACGTGGAAGGTCAATATCGGGAGTATTGACTAACTAAAGGGAGGAGACGGGTAATAAAATTAAATACAAACATAAATAGTTTTTTTAATTAATTAATTATAATTATCGACTTAAGCTGAATTTAAATTAATTTATAAATATAGGTTTAGATTTCCCTTAGCAAATAAAAAAAAAAATTAAACCCTAATATTTGACTTGGAATAGAAAATATTAGCTTATTTATTAACCATTATTACAAGTTCATATTTTCGTCTTTCATAAAATAATATGTATATTTTTCATACGTCTAAATAACTAAAAAAATATAATTAGATTAAAATGTATATATAATAACGAAAATGATAATGGGTCCATTTTGTTTCCATGTTTATCACAAAACGTGAATAATTAAATATGTGGCAGTTGTCATTCTTTCATTAAGTCGCAACAGACATTAATTAAGCTGTTTAATTCTATTTATTATTGCAGTTCGATCCAATTTATTTACATCCCCCAAAATTATCCCTTTTTTTACTTTTTTATTTTTTATTTTTTAAATCCATTTCTTTTTTAGGTATACCTATTTAATGAGGAAGAATACTTCTTTTTACTCTCTGCATTTTAAAAGTTTACTACTTTTACCTCCAAATTATTACTAATTTAATTACCATTACTTTGAATTAATAAAATTAATTCAGGTAAAAAAATTGAAAATGTAAATGTTGAAACTTGAACAAAAACAAAATTAAAAAACGTAGAGCAAATCCCTTATACTTTAGAGGATAATTGACGTGAATTATCTACTAAAAATGTGTTATCACGTTCATTGTAATCATGCTCTATGATTTACATCATAGTCGAATGGATTGTAGACGTAAATTAAAAAAATTACATTATATGAGAAAATGATATATAAAGAAAGTCCATTATTTGCAAAAGAATATAGTTTCCAAGTCCTTGCCACAATTGTTCGTGATGAAAAAAGGTATGCACTCGCCTCAAAAAGCATGCATCCATCTCAAGCTCGAAAGTTCAGGTACCATCTAAATATATATATATAGCGTGAATTGGTTTTCAAACGTCCATGTATTATAAGAGTCTAACGGTTCAGCATGGCTCATTTGAACATACCTCAATTATTAATTAGGTTCATTCGAGTTTATTATTTACTTCTTACTTCGATGCATATACGAACACGGTCAATCTAGACGGTTCATTATTAAAATAGTTGACATTTTTATAAAAGTTCATTTATAGTAGTAGATCGATCAGATATGTTTTTCATGTCTAAGTTACGTAGAGAATCTCAATTATGTCGGAAAAAATTAAGAGGATTTATTATTTTTAATGAATAATGAACAAAATATTGAGTTAATTTAAAAAAAAAAATTGAAGATGAGAAGGAGGGGGAAATAAATAAATTGTTATTTTTAAAAAATTAAAAGGTAAAAAGAAAAAAAAAAGGATCGTGCAATCCATTTAATCTGAGGTGGCGTGTGCCATTTAATTGGGGAGTAAAAGAAAATGGGTTGGTTATTATTTTAATAATAAAAATGTCATTTAAGTTTGGCGGAACATTGGCAGCTAATTCTTGGAGTTTAATAAAAATAAATAAATGGGCGTCGGCAAACTTTGATTTCTGCAGCCAAAAATTACAATAAACACCGACTCTTGATGTAATCAATGAAACCCAAGGACTCTTTGGCTTTTCTTTTATAAATAAATCCACTAATTACTTTCCTCCTTTTTTCTTCCCTTTTTTTTATTTTTATTTAATTTAATTTCCCACATTAATTCATTTTCCTGCCCCCCTTAATTTACACTCTCTGCCACCCATTTCCACAAAATTCATTTCTCTCTCTCTAAATTAATGAAAGAAATAATAATAATAATAATACCCATTTCTCTCTCTTCTTCCTTCTTCTTCCTCTGCCTCCCACTTTCCCACCCTCCCTTTTCTTATATAAATCATTCCCCGGTGTCCTATGTTTGCCACAAACTCGCTCACATTTTCTCACCCTCCTCCGCCGCCATCGCCGCCGTCTGCTTTCCAGCACTAAAAGGTATATCCATATTACAACGTTTCAAGTTCTTTTTTTTTTTTTTTTTTTTTCTGGAAGAGCTCTGAATTGGGTTTAAAGCTCTGTTTTTGTTTTCTTTTGAAATAGTGAGGAAGCGGCATGTTCTTTTTCCTTCCGTTTGTCTCATGTAAAATTGCTACAAATTGGGTGTTTCATAGCTTGAAAATGAAGTGTTAAATCACTAATTAACTAAAAAGCGTAAGTTAGTGTTAATTATTGATATAATTAAGCATTAACTTGTAAAAGTACAAGTGGTTTTTCGATAGCATGTTATTGGTTTAGCAAAAATAAGTGGAGGTTCATAATTAAGACGCCGTGTTTTTAATTTGATAAATTTGTGTTTTTTTTTCTCGATTGTAACAGAGACTAGAAGAGGAGAAAATGAGCAGAAGAAGCAGTGGAAGTGTTCCAAAGCTTGAGTTGAAATTGAACCTGTCGCCGCCGCGGCAACATCCTTTGGGGTCATCGCCGAGCCGATCAGCGACGTTGTCGCCCACATCGCCACCGAGCTCTTGCGTGTCGTTGGAACTAAACCAGGACGACAGCAGTGCCGCTCTCCGATACTCCAGCAGTCCAGAAGCGACATCGATGGTGCTGGTCGGCTGCCCTCGGTGCCTGATGTACGTGATGCTGTCGGAGAATGAACCCAAATGCCCAAAATGCAAAAGCTCTGTTTTGCTTGATTTCCTCCATGACGGCGCCGCTTCAGGTCCTCCGTCAACGGCGGCCGCCAGAAAGCTCTAAAGAAAATCACCCAAATCTAAACTGTCTTCAACTTCCATTTGGGTGTTAAATGTTCTTTTTTATAATTATTTTAGATGTGGAATTGAAAAGAAAATGGCGTAGCTTTTGTTGAGAAAAAAGTGTAAGAGAGGCCAAAATAGAGTTGAGAAGCTGAATTAATATTAATTTTATTTAGATATTGAAAGAGCACCAAATTCTCTCTTTTTTTTATTTGGTCTCAGCTCCCTTCGTTTTGTCTTCTGCAGAACAACACATCGTTAAACCATAATTAAACTCGTACTTGTAAGCACTACTGTTCTATGTAATCAAATATAAATTAATTTTGTTTTTTTGAAAGGCCTTAAATTCATTTATATATATATATACACATAAGGGGGTGAAAGAAAGTTGGGAGCATACTAAAAATAAGTAACAAAATTAAATAGAATTAAGTGCAAAGGGACCCATCTTCTGAATGAATATTGCTTGAATTTATTTCAATCTTCCAAATAAAGAAGGATTTAGTACAAAGATTAAAAACCCTAAAGTGTAGATTAGAAAGGCATATAAATGCAAGGAGTAATGGATGGAAGGCAGTTGAGGACAATTGAGATAAATACCAATTAATTAATTCCTTTTTTTTAATTAATTACTGAAACTGCATTGATTTTGCATTTTATTTGTGTATTAATAAACTTATGCTAAAATAATACATGAATTAATTGGACATGCAATCATTCTAGCTTCTATTTATATGCTATATTTAGGTCAACTCTATTTGGTTTCCAACTACTTTTTCTGCTTAATCCAACTTCTTATTTATTATCCTATTTAATATACTTTTAAATTCTATTTAATACTTTGAGACCGTGAAGCTGATGATATTAATGGGTCAAATATCTACTAGTGGTAGGCTTGGACTGTTATCAATAGTTCAAAATTAGACTCTTAAAAAACATTCCTTATTTATTATTATTGAAAATAAATATTGAATATTAAAGAAACAAATAGAAAGAATAAATATACTAAATAGATTGTCATCTTTTAAATAATTTGCAATTTAATATCGAAAAAAAAAGCTTAAAATTGTTCAATTTTTATATTAAATAATTGGGAATTTGGAAAATTACCAAAAATATTAGGGACCAATTCACACAATTTTCTAGTAAAGGCCCAATGGATTGGAACACGACGGGCTTAGTTTTTTAGAATATGGAGGCCCAGTTGTCGAAGGTTCCTAAAGATTGAGGCCCATTTATTTTTCTAAGGCCCATTCAATATATACAGTCATTTATTCCGAAATAATAATTGATTTTCTTTGCCCCCTTTTCCTAACCTATCGATTCCACAAGCCTTCCAGTTTTCCTCTTTATTCCCCTCGTTCCGTCCATTTATCTTCTTAGATTCTTCTTCTTTTTCAAGTGTTCCATTTCCTTCACTCTTCGATCAGATCCTTGCTACCTGATCGTAGTTAGCCATTTTTTATTCATCTATGACGCTTGGTTCAGGAGGCTCGAGTGTTGTTGGTTAGTCTTTTTAACCTGTTCGTCAAAATTTGATTGATCTCAAGCATTCTCTTTCACATCCTTCAATTTTTTTTTTTTTTTTTTTCTGATTTGACTATTTCATCGATATTTTTATTGATCGTTGATGGACTTGTGTTAATTGTTCAATATTTTAACTTTTATTTGACCCCTTTGCAAATATCCGTGCGTTGCATTCTCCGCCGTTGATGTATTTGCTTCTGTTACTCTTGTTTTTCTGTGTGTTCTATGAGATTCGGTTTGCTCTGCAATCTAAATGCTATACTTGATTTTGTAGGTCAAACTAGTTTTGGTGTGAAATAATGTTGGACCTTCGTGATTGAACTCGTCTTTACTTTATTGTGAATGCTCTCTGTGGCTTATTTTGGATAGATGTCGGGGGAGGGTTTGGCTACTGGCTATTGTTTATGTGTATTTTGTGAACTAGAAACCCTGACATGTTCCAGACCGATGAATCACATTTTTTGTTGTTGTATAAATGCCTATATCTCATAGTTGTCTTAATTACATGTATTCTTAGGGCTCTTCTACATCATCTCGTATTTTGGCTACGTTTTAAATTCAATTTGTAATCACGAATTCAAGGTTAATTGATTTCTTTAATTATCTCAAACATCTAAACGAGGAGAAAAATGGTCTGCTTTCGACTGTTCCAGATTTTTCGTTACATACATAACGTACTTTAGAAGACTTTTTGAAGCTTAGGATGGAGACTTGCTTTGGACGAGGCTCAATTGAACTCTGTAAACAAAAACGTAAAGAATGAGTAGAACTTGTCTGTGATAATAAGAACGGTGTTGAATGACATTTTAGAATCTTTCTTTAATTAAGTAAAGATTGGATATATGAGTTTTTAAATTTTTAATAATGATGATAATAGTTATTCTTAGTACTACTGGTTAATGCAATTTGATGGTTTTTATCAATGCTTTTGTATTTCGATTGAGGATAATCCCTCAAACTACTTCGAGGCTTGTGCCTCACCTCTTTAGACGAAAATATCTCGATGCTGTTTTTTACTTTTATAACATTGTTTGGATGTCACTTAAACCTCGGACATGAAAAAAATCAACTCAAGCACTTTTTCCTCCAAGTTTGACTGAACAATAGACTTTGCAAATGATTGAACGGGCTCCTATGCTAGTTAAGCTTTCACTGAAAATTGTGCATTTTTCTTAAAATCAAAGTAGTTAATTTACAAATGTAGACTGTAATTTATATAACATGAGTAGGATGTGGTTGGGGGATTATCCTGCCAGCTTTTTTATCCCTTAGCCTCATTAAATAATTTGGAAAATGATGTTTTCATTGGTTTCCTTCGCTGTCTCCCAGTCACCTTCAGTGAGAGCCAATACGCATTGAGCCTTCATCGCTTGAGTGATCAAGGGGTGCACACAATAAGTCGCACATTTTGAGTTGAAATTTGGCACCCGGAAATGTTGAGTTCATGGCAACCAATGTGAATGCTCTACTTAAGAGACTTTGGCAGTCGGCCCTCGTTTTCCCTCTTTGATAGCAAACAAGTCAAAAGACTTCTACCCTAGAATGCTAGATATTGTATTATTCCTAGTATATTTACTGGCATATTTTGACCATATATTAGCTCACCATGGCTCATCCACATTGAAATGTGTTTGAGTCAAAAGTTGGTCAAATGAAGGACTAGTAGTTAAAAAATCCAACATATGATTAATATGATAGAACTAACTCAAAGAAACATGCAGTTCTTGAGAAAATCACTGAGATGTTCAAAATTTGGCTGACCGTATAGATTAAATGATAAAATCGGAAGAACTTCATGATGTGAAGTTATACTTGTGCTAGACTGCTACCCAAGATTGACATAAGCATGAAAGTGGAAAACGGAACCATCTGGGAAGATGAATACTTGTCCTGCACTAATAATTATGAGGTGTGGGAATGTGCGATGGTACAACAAGGGGTGGTTGAAATCAAATTGGAACTCGCCAAACCTAAATTTGAGCGGTAAGTAGTCAAGATTCAAGGGTCTAAGACTAAGACTAAGGTGTCTGAAGGGAGTTGGACCTTGGTGGAAGCTATAGATGTAACCCGGTGCTTATGATGTATGGTTGGAGTTTGAACATTTATGTAATTTAGTACTCGATTTTTTGAGTTTCCAGCCATGTCTAGGATTTTCCAGATTGTTACTATCAATCTCAGATTCTTGTCAAGGTAGGTCAGTGCTAAATTGCAAAACAATTTTGATGTTCGCTGTGTTCCAAGATAGACACGACCCAGGTGGTGTTGGATTTTCACATATTATGATTGATTTGCTAAATCCTCCTCGTGCTTATGTGGTACTCATTTGGAGCCCCCGTACAGAATTGTTTGATGGAAGTTGGAAAGATCCCTTTTTTTTTGTTACACCATGGAGTAAGCTACTTAAAGAGCAATTGCATCCTTAAAATTTGTGGCTTATTTTGTTGGGGTGTTAATTTTTGGCATATGCTGAAATAAATGGCAATAGTTTGGTTGAATGAGGGCAGTTAAATGGGAATATTAGCATACTCTTTGCTAGGTCATGGTGATTTCTAGGGAGGCAAGTAATATTAACTGTTATATGTTGGCATCTGGGTGTAGTCGATATATGGAATAGTTTAAGTTTATCCGCATGATTTGAGAGATTCGCTCATAGGAAGTGGTTATAAAAATAAATGGAGAGGAAGCCAGATGGGCAGTGCTGATAATGAGTTCTCCAAATAGCTTGGAATTGGGAGAATAAGAGGAAAATTCTCAAATTTCATCCTTCTTTTTTTTCTATCTTTCCTTCATTCTAGTACGAATATCAATTTGGTTCATCAATGTGATGGCATATGAAGCTTTTGATACAGAAGCACCATAATGAACATAAGAGAAATGTCTGACAGGACATTCTTGAATAATTTAGTACAATTATCAATATGATTATACTTCTCTCTGAATAAATTGAATTGGTGTGGAGTGATTGTAAACCAGTCGGTTGGGTCCACTATTTTTCTATGTTGCTCTTTGTGAGGGCAAGTCGATTAAATAATTTGTGCATTGCAGATTGTAAAGTTGTGTGATGTAGATGTCTCGCCATTGTCAAAACTTAAGCATCTTCTAAAGTGTTTGCTTTCTATCACAGTTCCTAGGAACTTCCGGCTGCTGGAGGAACTTGAACGTGGAGAAAAGGGCATTGGTGATGGTACTGTGAGCTATGGAATGGATGATGGAGATGACATTTATATGCGTTCATGGACTGGCACCATTATTGGTCCACACAATGTAATGGCTTCTGCCCTTCTTTTCAGGAATTTTAGTTCATTGCCTTGCTCGTGAAGAAAATTTGAAAATTTATAATTCGTACTTACCACCAAATATATATATAATTCATCAAATATTATTCATTGCTATAGGCACTATTCCTGCTCTTTTCCAATTGTAATTAGCTAACATGTCTTCTTGAATTTTGGAGGAAGTTCTTTTTTTTTTTTT